GATTGGTAGGTGGACAGAACGAGGGGCGCGGGGGGACGGAGGGCAAGGAAACATTTCTAAAGTCAGGGATAAAAGATCACTTCTAGGATCAGAGGAGACGGACAAAACTGACAGGGGAAACAGTCATGCGGCAGATTGCATAAATATATGACAGCGCTTTGTGTTAAACGACATTAGAAACACATCTCTAGGAGTATATTAAAATAAATATTTCAGCACATTCAATTTTACATGTATTTTTGCTTAAATGTAGCTCAATGGTTTGAAACACAAGCTTACATTGTCGTTTAATAGCAGCAGGTATGTAAATAGCTCAGTCTAGATGTAGGCTTTAATGCTATCTGCTTGAATGCAAAAGGATAAAAGGAAAGCTTTGTGTAAAAGGCACTGCAGATGCATTATGTCTCAGATAATCCCATTAGAGGCCTTTCAGCTCTATGGATGCCATCTGTAGAGAACGTGTCTGTTTTGGCCCCCAGGTGGCGTCTGGGTCCCTTTTCTGGTTTGACTTGACATTCTTATAGGAGGATTGTTTCAGGAGCATGAGTGCCATTAAAAACACATGGGTAATGTAAAAAGGTAACAAGAAGAGGAGAGGAGGATGGTGGCATATTGGTGAAATATTGTAATATTTCAGCAGACCGCCATCTCTTTACTATATATAGTTAATATATAGATTTTAAGGGGGAGGTTTTAGACAAACCAAAAGAGGAAAAATGTAACCAGTTGTGTGATGTAATAAAAATGCTTAAAAATGCTTATTTAATCTTTCATGTTCAGATCCTCCTACCTCCTGACAGTAAGACAGGATTTCATTGGGCTCCTTGAAGCAGCCCTGGCGGCCCTGAGGGTCCGGCTCCCACTGCCCAGTCTGTAAGTTCATGTGCAGGAGCTGTCGGCCACAGAACATGGCAATCTGTGGCTCTGCCAGCTGGGGACCCGGCCCATTCACCTCGGTCATGGCAAGAGCCTGGAGAGCAGAGAGAAAGAGAAGAGTTAACACCAACACCGTGACGGACATTACGGAACATGAAGTTGGTTCAGGGCAGACAGTTCTGCCACTACCTGCAAATAGAAAAGCCTGAGCGCAAGGCTGAGAAGAGGTGGAAGATCGAAAAAGCAGGTTGGGATAATGTACAGGCGAATCGACTGTGGAGGCGTTAAAAAGAGTGCTGCAATTCTGCCATCTGAAAACCGACAAAAACTGGTCAGTGCATCCTCTGGGGAACCGCCAATCAAAAAAACATCTGTAATGTTTCCACTAAGTGAAAGAATCACACTAATCATCAGGGTGCACTGACAACAACACTAAATGTTAACTAGTTTTATGACCATGAAAATGAAATCTAGTTTCATCAACAATGGCTTAACAGCTTCTTTAATCTCTCTACATACATAAAAACAATTTTGTTGGCAAAAGAAAATGTGTTAATTGCATAAAATCTTTTTAGGCTCTAATCCAACTCTCCATCATTATAAGGTATCATCTCTTGATGATGGTGGCGCTGAGTGTTGTTATGAGAGTGTGCAGACTGCTCTGACAAAACGTATGTGTTATGCCCAGTTTTTTTCAAGTCTGGAGATTGGCTGTGTGGATGTGTTTACATAAAGCACAGTTAGAATCTCAAAAATCAGATCTTTTTCTGATCATCAAATGCAACACACTGAGAACTACCAGTTCTCAAAAGTGAAAAAAAGGCTAAAAGTTGGCAACTCTATCAGAGATGTGTTTAACATGAAGAAAAACTTTCAGAGATACATGAAGCCATTCAAAAAGAGACTATTTTAAATCATTTCTTGATGCATGTTTGCTGTACATTCAAACTGTGGGACAGAGCAGATGACAGAAAGGCTTAGTGAAGCACCGCAAAGTTCATCCTTTTGAGTCTTCAGCCTCTGTCAGTCATGGAACATGGTGGATTTGGAAATGTCAGTGGATTTTAGGAAATCTAACAGTTAAGGTAAATATCTATATTCTAAAGAAAATCCAAATGAAGAATGCATAACAGTGCTAATCAATGGTAAAAACAAATTAACAGTAAACCAGGAAGAAAAACAGAATTATAGAGAGGAGTTTAATTATTCTGATTTTTTTTTAGCTTGATTGGTCATGATCAGCAATTAGCAGGTCAGAAACTCAAAACTCATATCAGTTTCCAATCAGTAAATCGTGCAGGTGCACACCAAAGGCTGCTCCCATCCACCCCTTTGGCTTCATTTCCTTCTCTGGCCTTGTAGAAAGCTGGTATCGATCCTAGGAGATGTTGCCTTTGCCTGGGGAAGGGCTCAGGGGAGCCCACACAGAGGAACAAACACCGGCTAGGTCTGGGAGTCAGGTGTTAATACAAGCTCATTGACCGATGCACCACTTCACTACATTAACACACAGCGCAGAGACAGAGGGAGCCAGGGGAGGAATAAAGGAAGGGAGGGGCCCGGCGGCTCTATAAACACAACACACAAGGACTTACTCTTCGCTAACAGACAAAGGAGTTTCCATCGAGCCCTCAGGCATCATGACAATAAAACATGGTCCATGTTTCTTTTGATACAAAGAATACATGTCAACCAAAAACATTTGGGAACATCGGGGTGAGTTTCAGTGGTTACAGCAGCATTCATGTTGGAGAATAGGTTACATTGTTAACTGTCCAACCCTGAAATTTACCCCCACAAAAAAAAGGCATCCCGTTTCGCCCAGAGCCTGTGTTCGGCTCGTGTCCTTTTCATCTGTGCTGACAGACAGCCAGATAGACCCACTGACGACAGACAAGACGAGCGACGCAGAGCCAATTAGAAGCAAGCAGCCCGCGGGGAAGAAATCTGGGAGAAGAAATAGGGGAGAGTGACGTATGATCAAAGGAAAAGCCCTGCTTGGGCCGAACAGAGATAAAGTGTTTGAAGTCCTAATTAAAATTTATACGGGATAAAATAAATATTTAAAACTCTGCGAGTAAATGTACAATAAATACAATAAGCCCTCAGCAGTCTGTGCATTCTAATTAAACTAAAAGGAGGTTGTGTTTCTGCATGCCTTAGCAGATTTTTCCTTTTGTAAACTACGGATCTGCTTTTTTAAAACGACGCATCGTTTTAAAAAAGCACTTCAAGGATTTTGGGGTTCATGGTTGCATATTTCTTTTGTAACACTTACAAAGGCGGATGTTTGCAATGTTGTTGTTGATTTCTTTCTGTATTTTAACTCCTACCGGGGTTCCAAGTTGTACAGGCAAAGTTTACTTCCTCTGCTTTGAAAAATAAAAAGGACTTTTATCCCCTGCCTTTTCTTTTATGCTCCTGCTATTTTTAAGATATGCCATTTTCCTCCATTCTGCAGCTCCAGACTTCTGGCTTGTTTTATATTTCAGTAATTTATGACCTACAGTGTTCTCGAGTCATAATTGCTGCCAAAAGAAAAGCACACCATGGAAAAAAGCAAAAAAAAATAAAAAAAACAAACAAAAAAACAAAACAGCTCATAAAAACATGTGTAAGCAGAAAACCGTAAATGACATAAAATATGTAAATGACATATGGATGGTGATTAAAGTCGCCATCCAAAAAAAAAAAAGTTGCACATATAGCAGGAACAAAATAACTGAGCAAAAATATCCTGGTTTTACATTAGTGCAATGTAAAGAGAAGTCTACAATATGATTTTTATTTAAATATCAAAAGAAGCAATTGAGAAAATAATGTATTACATTATTTTTTACATTTCTGTTACACATTTCTGAACATTTCCTTACTTTTGTTTGGACTTTGACAAACAAAAATAATACAAATTCTAAATAAATTCTAAATTTAGCATTTGAAGCTTATGTTTACACGCCTCCATTCTCACCATGTTTTGCGAATGGGAATCTTTCCGTACATTTACATTTTTTATTTCTTTCAACCAGCTGACAGGCAGTGTCCAGCAACATCTGGGCATGAGTAGAACTGTTTTATTCAGTGATGTGTACATCCTGAGAAGAATACCTATCTAATGAAAATAATTTTAAGGTAGTATGGGAATTGTATTATTAGACATTTTTTAAAATCCTTCGTTTATTATGTGAATGGTGATCAGCTCATACTCGGTGTTTACATTCCAAAGATATCTGCATGCAGTAACTGAATGCATACAAAGCCACACAAATGAATTTATTGATTTAAATAACAGTAATAATAGAAAACATAAAATATATGTTGCCACTTACTTTTTCAACCCTTTGTTGTAGAAAAAAACTCTTGTTTACTCAAAGTAATGTTTTTGCACAACCTCTATTTTAAATTCAAGCTGTACTATCTTCATTTGTTAACATGATCACGTCGTTAAAATGGTTTCTCATTCATACTTCAAGTTTAACACCAATGGTTGCTCACCTGGACTACATTTGTCATCAGTTTCTCTGCCGACATGTCTAGCCTGGGATTTGCTCATCGCTGTTGCATTATACTGCATATTTGTTCAGTTTCTCGTCCTGTTTATTGGGGTACTCAGTCATATCCGTGTCTCCAGTGTGTTCTGCATCTTCGTCATTCGCACCAATTCTTGACAGATTGGGTTTGTTATTGGCTTGGTTGAATTGGATCTTCGGGCCACACGCTGAATTGAAACATGAGCACAGAGTGCTGTCTGCGTCTATCACGCATTACACAATTTTCAGTATTTCATGACCAGAGGAAGATTTTGCTTCATTTTTCTTGTGTAACACAATGTAATCAACATTCTTGTTCATTTGTGGATGACTCATTGCTTTGAGGAAATATATAAATATATATAAAGTAACACTTTTAGATGTTACTGCAGGTAATATATACTATCGTGCTCCCCATGTTATCATGCCACCTCTTAGCCATATAAATTTTGTTATCTTCTCCGTTGAATTTAATTTTGCATTCAGAAAGCACAACCATAATGTAGACCTTTTATCACCACACACCTCAAAATGCATTATTAAAATGACAGTTTTCAATTATTTAATTGTGCTGTTTTTCCTTTTTTTCATTTGAAGACATCGAGGAGCTAACTCCAGGTCCATGTATGGGACAGACAGACATGGGAAAACGCGACTGCAGCTGCTCAAAAGGTCGACCTGCTGAGCCCATTCCACCAGACATATCTCTGCATCAGAAAAGGTCAGTGCCACAAAGACAAATAAATAAAAAATAAATAAATGAACTTCCTGATATCTGAGAAGACAACATGGCAGCTCCAGCTCTCTCATTCTGCCAGCTCTCCACTACTGCACTTGCAGAAAATCAATGCTGAGCGACTGCAACTGTATCGCCACCTTTCTCCTGAATCAATAGCGGTCCATCAGGAGCACGAGATCCTGACCTCCAGTCCAGTCCTGTGAGGCTAGATTGGAGGTCCCAAGCCAGATTGGGAACGAGATTACAGCTCCCCATGTTGTGATCACCTCTGATAACACAGTATCTAATGAAAAATGCTTTAGCTCAGTGATGGCGATTTGGTGTCTGGGAACAGCTTATGTCTGTCTAAATCAGTGTTATTAACGTCATATAATTAAAAAACAAATACATTTCAAATAAGAAAAAAAGTCCAACTGTAAATGCAGAACACAAACTAGAAGCAAACAAAAAAAAAAAAAAAAACATGGGTCAGGATGCACAGGTCTGAATTTTGTGGAAAATGTCCGTCCTGTTTTTCTGAAGCTCTGACATGCCGATTTTAATTTCATTTCTAGGTTTTACATTTAAAATTTTTAAAAACTAAAATTATATAATGTTTTAAATGATGTAGATACACACAGTCACACTGAGACTGCACTAATCAATTCATTCAATTTAAATGATTTTTAAAAATATCTCTATGGACTGTAAAAAAAAAAAAAAACAATTGTGCTTTTTTACCTTGGGTACTTCTTCACTTCCCTATGTATTGCTTGAATTGGTGTCTATTTTTAAAATATTGTTTTCCTCACACATTAGTGATATAAAAGTTACTATAATAAAAAAAAGAAAAAATAAGAAAAGTATTTTTTTTATTTCAACTGTTGTCAGCTTCATGTGTGGTCATTAAATATTAATGTGAGGAGCAGACGCAGCCTCAAGCTGCTGTTTGACAGTGTTGACATCATAAAACAGCATTATTGCTCATATTTTTAAAGAAAGGGCAAAAATAACAAGAGAGTTCACATTTTAAACTCTCTATAACATCTGATATTAGCAATTAGTGCTTTATGTAATTAGTGCATTTAGGACAAATAAACTAATAAAGGTCAGAGGCTGAAGGATTAAATATGCAAAGCAAATCAACTTGCCTGAACTCACATCCTGAATGAACCAAGTACTTTTGATGTGTAAGAGAAATAACACTTTTCTTTTTTAAGTTGCTTCTTACACCTCTGTGCTTCAGGTGAGCTCAATCTAAAAACATAAATAATAATGAAAATAGTTTATGCCTTCTTCATTCAGAGTGCCGTAGAGTGTTGGTTCAGTAATCAGAAAATATTACATTTTTTATCTTTTGACAAACCAATAATTCTGGTTAATTATTTCTCTGAACATCTCTGACTAAAGGTCTTAATAACTTGTAAAAAACTAACCTTTCTCCCAGGGAGGGTTTTAATTGGAAATACCAAATTTAACAGAAGAAAAATTTAGAAGTGTGCTCCTTGAGCATGTGTGAACATACCTGTACAGCCAATCTCCACACTCCAAAAAAGTGAGTTGGGCACAAACACTGGAGTTTGACTGAGACGCTTGCACACTTTCAAACACCACAGCATCAAGGGACAGAAGCTACCTGGCAGAGATAGAGTTGGATTCGTGCCCAGAAAGATTTGATGAGAATCACACTTTTATCTTCACCAGGGAGATGATGCATTTGTTGTTTTATATGTCTGTATGTCTGAGGAGGGATTAAATGAAACCATCAAGCCAATCACTATCAACAGGGATGGTGGGATGGAGCATGGGCAAAGACGGTACCCAAAAAATAAAATTTTCTGAACTTGAAATACTTGACGCAGAATTTGACATGTCTAATTAATTATCCCTGGCATTTAATTATTTGGATCAAGATACGTTTAAAACTACAGTATGAAAGGGTAAGAAAATATTAATGTGATTCTTTTTGGTTAGATCATGTGCATGTAAATTGTGTTTTTTGCAATTGACAGGACCTCGAAGTACAGAGGTATCTCTGGAGTGTACAGTTACCATGCATAGCAGAGGCTGGGGGTGGTTAGGGGCTTCTACAGTGGTGCTACCCAACAAGCCCATGCTCCACAGATCATGCTGTAGTGCTGATGAGGCTGAATAGGCTGACAGCTCAGTACCCTGACAGCTCCCACTGCAGGGAAGACTGCATCATTAATAACAACCTAGTAATATATGGGGAGACACATCGATTGGATTTCAACTTTCTCAACCTTTTCTTTGCCTCCCTTAGTTATCCTGTTTCTCTGCTAGGCTCCTCAAGGTTCACTACTGACTAATCCTCTACTCCATGATGACAAAAACAATCTGCACCAGTCATCATGGAACAGATGGTTTATACCCAATGACGGCTGTTGACATTTTTACACATATTCATCTTGTCGAGGAAATGACGCTGCCACGCTGAGCATTAAAAAAGCAAAGTGGTATGATCTGCAAAGTGATATGATCTGCAAAGTGATATGATCTGCCGCAAGCCGAACATAAATGTTTGCGTCAGTCAGAAATGAGTTTGGGTCAGGGAGGTACATTTGCATGTTCCACCAGCATTTATCTTCCTGTGCTAATTAAATTTTCAGCACCTGTTCCTCCCTTATGTTGCAGTATGACTTCATCCTCTGTAATGATGCAATATATCGGCCCTGGCCAGCAAGCCAAGAGCAAAGGATTCAGAGGAGAGGAGCCCACCCATCATTTGTCACATTTTACAAGCTGCTGCCGGGCTGTATGTTGAAGAACTGAAGCACATGGTCCAAGCAGATGTAATGTGTTTAAGTGCGGATGTGCTGGCAGCAACACTTGTGTCTTTTGTACAGACGCACAGGAGGTTCCATCTCATGAATATTCTGCACATTTGTGCATTTTGGTTAAATATGTGTGTTTATTATCTTCATTTTTTTTTTTTTGCATTCTTATGTGTTTTTTGTTTATCTGACTACCACTTGCACTCTTAGCATAGCACTGAATAACATAGAGCAGCAAGCACAGTCTCACCTATGTTTGGCTACAAAGTCCTTAACACTCTTTTTTATTTATGTAATTAGTTATTTTGGCCTGCAAAAACTAAAAAAACAAATCCTTAACAAGTGATTTGTTTTTCAATATTTACAAGTATATAAACGTAAAAATAAAAAAAAAGTTGCTGTTAATGTTCAAGGGGAAGAAAGTAACATAAACCTCAAAACACTATATTGACATATTATTGAAATTAGAAAAACAGTTTTGGATCTTCAGTGTCCAATTGGGTGAAACTAGAGGGTAAAGTGTTTCAACTTTTTCAACTAGAAAATGGTTTGTTGTTTTCTATTTTGCCCTAAAACAGGATTATTTTTTATTTTTGCTTTTGTCTTTGCTTGAAATTAAAATACTTTCTTTGACACAAATAAATGCAAAAAGAAGAGCCTTCAACATGTGAATAAATGCATTAATAAATAACTAAATGTAGAATTGGTTGTACTAGTTTTTTCCTAACATTAGCTCAAAGCAATACAAAACAAAAAGGTAAGTACATATAAGAGGACCGATCTGTTCTAGGCAGACTTGCAGCAGGAGTTTGAAAAAAACAAACAAACCCGTCACACACATTTCCAACATTTGGTAACAGAGGGGATGCATGCAACAAACAATACTCTAGTAAACTGATTAGCTCCTCATTTTTAATAGAGCCTTACAGATTTAATGGCATCACTTAAAAAAACCTTCACAAATCAACAAGCCTTTGATATATATTATAAGCTCCACACACACATCCAACAGCCTTTCTTGAACCCCATGCGTGTTTTTGTAGCACAGATGGCTGAATGGTGGGTGTCTTCCTGCTCGTGAGTCCCTCCTTCTCTCTTCCTCTCGTTCTTTTTCATCCTGTCCCTCTGCCTCCTCCCAAGGCTGAACCCTCTTCCATTGCTTCCTTTTATATCCCGCTCTACCTCGCTGCCCTTCTCTCTAATAGCTTTAACACAATGCACAACACTCTTCCACATGGCCTTCTTTCCAAGATTGCTGCTAAATGGAATTAGAATTAGGGGCATACATCACTGTAATCATGCTGTTTAATTATTAATAGGCTCCATCAGGCTCCTTCCTGGTGTGGCATATTCGAGAGAGGCAACATTATCCTGCCAGAGGCTCCTGGTACAGAATGGACAAAGCATAATCAAGCACGTTAGCGCTGAGGATTCACTCATTACTATACGTTTCTGACTAATGGCTAATTGAATCCATTAATTTTCTGCTCAGATGACGCTGATGGGCTACAATGAAAACACTGCTCCGTGTTCCATGTCGTGTTCTGTTCCTTCCTATAATAAAACATGCATTGATGTGAATATACTTGCTGGATATAAAAACGGAACGCTTGTTGAGCACGTGACAGTCAACCATTACATTTGAGGCTCTGATTTCTGAGATTCACAAACAGCACAGGCTAAGTCGGGCTTCATCGGTTCAGATTACTTTGCTCCAGCCTCCAGCTGGGCACACTGGGAGCAGATGGCCCCAGAAAATCACCACGGTTCAGCCAGGGCTGTGGTGGAGCCCAAACTCAGCTCCTGATGTTTGATTTAATTTCAGATATAGCCTAAAATTCAGGCCACAACAGCTGGCATGTACAATAGTGTGTTTGTATGGATAATTTGCAGTGCCAAAAGTTTAATGATCGTGGCTTCGTGGAAATATTGTAAATCTAAATTGAGAGGTAAGTAGACATGGGTCAATATTTTGCAAGTAAATGTTTTTTCCACAAGAATTTCAAAGAGAAATAATATAATCTAACTGCTTTTATTTATACCAGAAAAAACACTATTACTCCTGCATCAGTGGAAATAATATAGCATGTTGATTATCAGTTTTATTAACATTATCTGTAATTTTTTTATGCTACTATTTTGATTTTGACATAAACATAAACAACTGCTTAATTTTATTAGGTTCCAGGTGCCCAAAACACCATACTTTTAGTATTTCTACTTTATAGAGTAGAGTACATTCACCGGATATTAGCTGGTTAAATTGTCATTTAAGAGACTGAAGGAGAACCATCCAATTAATGGATTAAATTAGCCATTACTAAAGTTAATGCTTTGTACATTTGGCATGCTAAGAAAATAAAGTTTCAGGTCTGTAAAGCAGCAGACTGCAGGCGAGCTAGCTGCAGCATCAGCTTGACTCCTAGCGTTACTTTTCAAAAATCAAAATGAGGAGCTAATAGTGCATAAAATGAGACTGTTAAATTCTGCCAAAAAAGAACTTCTGCTAAATATTGCACATCATCATCAAAAGTCAGAACTTTGTCTTAAAATGCTGTGTAATGTGTCTTCTGCCTTACCATGTATGGTAGTGAATTGAAAACATGTTTTTCACAGATCTAAATGTGTAAAAAATGAAAGGAATGCAATAGAAAATCAAGTTGTGGCACATCATTCAAGCTCATGTCACTCCTGTTCTGCATGAGAGTGATGAGTGATATGTTCAATGACAGCAGGAATAGGCACCTCATTTACAGCAGCGTTCAGGTGGCAGAATATTTGGTCATTTGATAAATTCATGTGGCAGCATTGCTTGTGATCAAATTGTATACTGTGCTGTCAAATGGCTGCAAAGTGATGTGGGAACTTTTCTGTCGTAGTGTCTTCCCATGAAACAGAAAGAAAAGGCAGATCCACAATAATGTGAAGGGAGGTTATAATAAATATATTTCCAAGATGCCTTCCTTGTAAGCAAGAGAAATATGAAATATTTCACCCAGGTGACAATCAATAAAAGTACACAGCAGCAGGTAGAGACGATACAGAACCATATTACTTAACTAGAAGAAACTCTGGTCGCTTCAGCCTTTTTTCTGGGAATACTGTCCTTTTTAAAATGAAGCATTCGCTTGCTGCTGGGAAATGACAGTACTGCGTCTTTGTAAAGGTTATCATCTTTTTATGGACTTGTTTGATGTACAGTAACACCTGGAGGCTTCATATAAAAACTGGAACAGAGAGTTCCCCTCCCAGCTGAGACTCACATTAACTGGGATAAACATCCTGTTCAGACACGTCCTACTTTTTTCTCGTTAGGGTGCGTTCTGTGACTCAAGCACCTGAATTTTGATTCTATTCAATCAATATTTAAACAGCAGTTTTTCCTGCTGCTTTTGTCACATCCTGCCTTTCAGCAGCTTCTCTGCATTCATCACAATTGTTCATCACAACAAGAAGACACAAAAGGAGCCTCCCATGGACATAAATTTGATTTGATGTGTGATGCTCCCAGTTCTATAGAAAGTGGGTGTTAGGCAGCAATCAGAATGAAACAAGACCAATGTGATGTGCTGCGTGGAGTATTTCGACATCAGTGCCTCTCACCACCACCCACATTTCAACAAATGCTACGTCTGACTCACACAACATGATGACGCCACGACTCACATGTGTGCTCACCCTGAAAACACAAAGGCGCAGATCACAGTTGGTCACATTCACCATCTCTCCTAAGTCACCACATACCGAGAATGCGTGTGATGCACATGCAATACGCAGTGATAAAACCAAATCCCCGAAACATAATGTTAGCATGTCCCGTTCTTACATTGTTGATAAATTTCTGCTGTTACACAACACTGCTGAGCCTCTTTCCGAGCTACGCAAAGCAACACCGGAATGCTGGCGTTTTAATACCAAACAGTGGGACTCCACAGATGCAATTTCAAGCTGAACGACTCCCTCAGGGGATTGAAAGAATCAAAAGCTTAAGAGGAGATTTGAGCACTGAAGGTCTATTTGAATCATTCTTACATCAACACAATTGACACTGAATCAGGGATTTTTCTGTATGATGAAAGAGAGACTCAAACAAATCTGTATTCGTGCTGTAAAAATATACAAAGGTGCAAATTTCAATGAGTGAACTTCTTCACAATCTGGTAAACCTTCCAGGCTGAAGTGCATTACAATAAATCCACAAAGATGCCTCTACTGCCTAGACATTCAAAATAGTTTAATTTTAACATATTCATCTGCTTTACAAATATACAAACACACCTTATGTTTTGCATTTTCCCTCTCCTGTTGACAGTTTCCAGAGGAATTTTATGAAACTCCATTTATTTCCTTTAGACAGAATACAGCAAAATGAGAGCACTGCGGTCTAATTATAGCTCGTGTTTTCTGATCTGATGCCAGCAGCTTGTGGATATGGGAGCTGACCCCTGCTGCTTCTGCTCAATCAACAGCAAGGTGAGGAAAAGAGTACCTCATAAAGATGCCCAATAAAAACATATCATATATTATACACCTAAGATAGCTAAACTTCTCTGCAAAAAAATGAAGCTGCATTATATTAAGCTCTCAAAATGGTAATAAGTTAAGAAAACCATTACCTTGGATAGATCATCCAGTTTATTAGAGTGTCTTTCAGTAGTTAATGTTTTAATAAAATAAGATTCTGCAACACTAAGGGGATTTGATGCCTCCTGTCTACAATATGTTTTTTTTCACATACTGTAGTTTCCACAACTACTCTCAAGGTCTAGAATATTCTTTTCTGCCAAAGCACTGCAGTTTCCATTTTCCACTTCACTGCAAGCTTACAGTATGTTGTATCTTATCTATGTCAAAGAACACTGATAATTATCAGTATTCTCGCTTTGAAAACTAACAATCTTTATGAAATGTCAACATATTTGTAAGGGTCAAATTCTTTTCCTAAACTTCAATAAAGCTGTAAAATAAAGCATGCGAGGAAAATAAATCAATGTAATAAATTGTGTCAGTGCATTTCAATCACCGGAAGGGTGAAAAATATTCAGCATAAAGAGGTGAAGGAGGAGGAGATGACTGGAGGCCGGTGGGGAGAAGACGTAGGTTACAGTGTTCATATATGTTTTTTTCCCTATTTATTCCCAAATGCAATTTTGATCACACTGAGACAGCTCCCCTGACAGACT